CACCGTGTGGCCCCTTTTGGACTCATCCTAGGTAGCCCAAGTAGGAGGCGCCGGATCCTGTGGTCCAGCTCCCTAGCAAGGATCTGATTTTCCCCCCAGGGAGCAAGGAATAAAACAAGCTCCTAGACTCCAACCGCTCCTGAAAGCCAGACAACAGAGCCAGAAACTTCCACAGCCACCGAGGTGGAAAATGCAGCCTGACAGAGAGGGAAATGGCAGAGATGAGCCTGCCCATCTGGGTGCCGGAGTGGCTGTCTCACTCATTACTCCAGGAGCGCGGGGGAGGTGGAAGCGTTACCTCATCTGGAAGAAGAAAACAGGCTGGGGGCTGATTTGACTGAAACGCTGCTGAGAGCAGAAGCCTCAGGGCCACGCACGTTCACAGACCAAAGCAAAGATTCTTATAGAAACAAACCGCCTAATTCAGCGCTTCCCGGCTTCCAGCGATGGCCCCTCCGACATCGGAGCTGTCGCCTCCCAGTGCTTGGTTCTTTTCATCCCATCATTCACACCAGTGCAAAGCAGGTGTGAAGTTCCACTACCAGGCACCCCAGAGGCGTAGCAAGGGTGTTATGCACCCAGGGGCAAAGGCAAAATTTGCGCACACCCCCACCGCCACACGATGGGGCCCCGAACCTGGCACACAACTGAGCCCGACCCTGGGGGGAGGAAGCTTGTACTGCATCTTCCCCCGCCCCCAGCAGTTTGGGGCCAGCTCCTTCATGCCTTAACCCGCAGGTGGAGATGGAGGAGGGTTGGGCTGGGGGCCAAGAGGTGGGAAGGAGGCACCAGCTGGTGGCAGTAGGCGGAGGAGGAGCAGACGAACCGAGGGATGACAGGGGGAGCAGAGGCGGACTAAATTGGCACCCCACTAGTGTGGCACCTGGAGGCAACTGCCCCCTGTTCCGCCCTCGCTATGCCTGGTGCTTAGAAAACTGGGAGTCAGGAGACTTCGGCTCTGTTCCTACTTCTGCCACTAATTCGCTGTGGGACCTGGTCAAGTCACTTAGCTCCCCTCCTTCCGTCTCCGTTCCCTTTCCCTTTCCCACACTTTGTGCATCAAATCTATTTAGTCTGTTAGTTCTTTGCAGCAGGGGCCCTCGCTAGGAGTTCATGCAGCATCTAGCACAGGGCAGCCCTGGCCTCTAAGCTTCCCCTTCATGCTACTACTGAGAATAACGGCAGATCTGAACAGCAGCATTTTATAGCCATTCCGCCCGTGTCAGTTACTGCCTAGGTAGAAGATAGGGAAGAATCACGTCCCCATTGACTGCTGTAGAGACCAGCATCCACGCTGGACTTTCTCCACACTAAGACTCACCCACCATTCAGCCGTGCTCATTCTCTGACCCAACTGCAGGAGGGAAAGCTCAAAGCTAAACCAACTCCTTGGCAGGGGAGCACAAGCCCAGGTAGCAGGCCTCACCAGTCTCAGCCTGGCCAAGTAACACAGTTGCCCAGAACGGTAACAGAAGCTGGAGATCGTCTGGTTAGCCAGCACATGGGCTGATCAAAGAGGCTCTGATGCGAACTAGAGCAGGGTTGGAGGATCTTGACCCAAATATCCCTGAGTTTGTGTTTCAATTTGTTACCGAGATGGAGCCAATTGTGATATTTGGCTTGGTGCCTGGAGGTGCCTGGATTGAGGGCAAAGAGTCAAACAACTGAACGCAGCCCTCATTATAGTATGGGGTTGGCTTTCTCTACAACGGTAGAACAAAAGAAAAAATTATGTAGCACTTTAAAGACTAACAAGAACTATTAAACCATCTTGTTAGTCTTTAAAGTGCTACATTGTTGTAACAGGCCATATAGAGAGCTCTGTACTCTTGTAGAGTAATCAAGAAGTAGCTCTGTTAGTCTGATATTCCTAAAACAAAAGGAAAAACTATGTAGCATTTTAAAGACTAACAAGAACTATTAAACCATCTTGTTAGTCTTTAAAGTATTACATAGTCTGATATTCCTAAAACAAAAGGGAAAACTAACAGGGCTCCTTCTCTATTACTCTACAAGAGTACAGAGCTCTCTTTATGGCCTGTTACAACAATCTGTAACCTACTCACCCCCTTCTTTTGTTCTCCGATTACAGTGGTGTTAATGAGTCACTCTACCTTGAATGGTCCCTTACAACAGGGGTAGTCAATAGATGGACCATGAGCCAAATCCAGACCCCCCCATGCTTTTGAACAGATTCCAACATCTTTTTATCATCATTCTTAATTTTTCTTTCATTATTTTCTCTAAAGTCTGGACCTTGACGGTGCCTTGATGGAGAAATGTGGACCTTGACAAAAACAACAGACTTCTCCTCCTTACAACATGTGCTAAACCAGTGGTTCCCAAACTTTTCGGCATCACGCCCCCTTTTTGATTTTTGAGAAACCCTCATCCCCCCCCCCCCCCGCCCAAAAAAATAGCAGTAAAACTTGGGGTGGGATTGACGGGTGTGTGCGCGGCTGGGTCGCCTCATGCTCCCCCTGGAATTTCTTCACACCCCCCAGTTTGGGAACCCATGTGCTAAGCCATCAGTTCTACCTTGCATTTTGCTGAAATCCTGGGAGTATCTGCTCCAGACCCACCAAAGAACTGTGAAGGGCTCAAAAGCTGGTCGCGGACAGAGGCTGGTCCAGCAAAAGACATTACCGTGCCCACCAAATATCCTGGGATGGACAGACATGACCACAAACACATAGTACTTAGCTCCCTCACATGACATTACAGCCACTGGGCTCATGATACAAGTAGCCGGGTAGGCAATTCTGCCCAGGGGTCAGAGAACAGAGTGGGGAAGAAGAAAAGGAAAAAAACATCTCTCTGTTAAGCTGGTTGCTTCACTCCTGGATCACTGGAGACAGGGCTACCTGCAGATCCTGCCCTGGCTGCTGGAGGCATTATCTTCACAGAGCATAAGGCATGGAGGGCTGGATACCCTGCTAACCCCAAGCACTGGCTGCTGCCCCCTATTTCACCTATTTCACACTGGGGTGCATGAATCGCTAATGTCATCAATAGACCCTCCCCCCAGCTCCCCATTATAACAGGGGCACTCTTGACACGGTCATGCCCCCAAAGGCCTGGGGAAAGGTGGGGGAAGAGACACATGGAACCTAGGCTTCACCCCAATCCCTCCCTTGCACCCCACCCCATCGGTCCTGGCTGGAGGAGGAATGGCTAGATTTCCTGGCCCCCTCCAGGACAACACTCCTGTGATCCCACCTGATGCTTTAGTGAGTAGCAGGGCTATTGCGGTGCCCTCAGGACTGTTATGCAAGCTGTTTCTTACAGTCACTGGTATTGCAGAGGGAATTTCCCCCTTCTTGGGCCTCCTGCAGGCCAGGAGGGTGGCTAGGCTCTGCCTCCCACACTCAGTTCCCTCTCTCTGGCAAGGCCAGATTTACTGAGTGCAGCCTAACTGATGGAGTAATTGGAGTCATGCCCTTCTGGCATCCCCATTATAACACGATTAGCCTCCTACCTCCGTATTTCTGCTCTCCTTTCTCTTGCTCCAGGATGCTCCAAGGCAGCTGGCTAGGCAGTGCCAGCGCTGGCAGGGTAAATGCCCATCTGGGCAAGGCCTGGATGAGTCTGGTGGGAGCTGGGCAGGGGCACTAGATGCTTCTTCACAATCCCTTCCAGCAACTGGGAGTTGGGACAAGCAACAAACCACCAACAGCTGCCCAGACTACTGCTCCCTATGCAGGCCACATGGCCAGGACTGATTGTAGCAACCCCCTCCAGAGTCTACTGGGCTCACTGTAAAACTTGGCATGGAGCCTCTGGGGAGAAGTCTGTCTCTGGTTGCTCCAAAATCCTGGTTAGGAGAATGGAGGGGATTCCCTTAGGACACTGCCTTGCCTGAACCAACTGCATCCCAGTGGTATGAACTTCCTCCCAGAAGTACCCACAGCCATGGCTCCAGCTTCTGGGCTTCTTTGTGTGTGAAACACCTGTTACCTTTTATGCCCATTGATAAATTGTATAATCAATTGCTTAAGCACACCCTGGTTTGTTATAAAATGTTCTCAAGAGGTCAACTTACTGTCAGTCAGGTTTATTATTGTGAGGCAGGAAAGTGTTTTGTACAATCCCAGTTTCTGAAGAGCAGCTGTGATGAGACATTTCCCTTACACAGAAGGCATTCTCCCCAAATTGACCTCCCTTGATACACCAAGAAAAGGTACTATAGATGTGGGCATCACCTGAAACTGAATTCAATTAATCAGCTTTTTACCTTGTTAGTTGCTCATGCATCCCTTTATCTTCTGTGCTGAACCTGTGTGTTCCAGGTCATGATGCGACCATATATTTATTCTGAGCACTAGTATGCCAGGTACCAAAAGGCACGGAAACATGCCCATACCAGCGTCAATAAGTTTGTGAGGGTGACTCCCTTTCTCTTGCTATAAGAAGACATAAATATGTCCTGCTAGTGACAGTTTTCCTATCTACTTAAGCCAAAGTTTACTTCTGCTAATGCAAGATGTGATGGCATACTTAGCACAAGTGAACAGGATTATAATAAAAGTACAAGCCAATACGGGCTACATAATTATTGTATTCATGCTTAATAATATGTATACTTAAATGCTTGGACTATATGTTGTGGGTAGTATTATCATCATACTATTTGGGTATACTAACCTGCTTATATTCCTCAGTGTGTCCTTTCCCCTCCATCATCTTTCAGCCCAACTTTTAACTGTGCTCCCCCTCCTTAACTGTGCTCCCCTTCCATGAGTGTGTCAGGAGACCCGTGTGTGTGTGTGCATTTTGTTGCTGCAGGCACAAAGAAGCAGACACATGTTCCCCAGGCGCCTCTCAGCCATGCTTTAATTGTGAATGGAGTAATAAATGAACAGTGCTCAAATCATTTGAAGAAAACAGAAACCATTGGCATGTGGATGCTATTTACAATGCTGATACAGTTCTTGTGTTGTAAAGGGGCTGGGGAAAATCTGAGGGGACCTGGATCCAGCGCTGGGGGTAAGGTTTTGGGACTAGCAGGAAGTGAAGGTTTTCCAGAAGAAGTTTTTACAGGGGGCTTTGCGATCTCGCTGTGATAGCTGGGCTAGCCGCCCCAAAGCCGATCTTTCATCTTCCAGTCTGCTTTCCGGGGGCTCTTCAAAGTCAGGGGGAATGGCCTCACGCCCCGTGTCCATCCCATCCAGCAGACCCACCAGCATCTTCAGGATCAGGTCCTTCCGGGTCTTGGTCTGCTCCTGTTAGGGGAAAGCACACGAGAGGGGTGATGCCTTTTCTTTAGGTCCCTCTGCAAGTACTGGCCTAACGCTCTCCATTTCACCTCACAGACTCCAGCTCCAACCCTTAGGCCATGGGGCAACTTTGGGGTGCTAATCACCTCACACTGATCAGTTGCACAGTGCCAGTGGGGAGTCACTGGGGTCATCAAGGTGGTCAGGGGAGAGGGTGAGGGATAGATGTAGGGACATTCGCCAGACCCAGTTAGCCCCCTCCTTGCATCTCTTGGCCTGTGAGCCAGCAGACGGGAGGCAACAGTGCACACAGGAGGGTGGGCTAGCACAGAGGCTCTAGCATGGGGCCCTGGATGGTTCTATGCTCAGCAGTCAGGAAGCCTGGGTCTCATCTGAGACAGGGGAGGCACAAGAGGGGGATGGAGCCAGGCTCTCAGTTCCTATGTTTTCTTCTCCCTCACTACAGGCTCCTAAGCCTGAGGGCTCTCAGCACCTGGACAGCATTCACTTTACAGACAGGAGCCAGTTAATCCTCACCCTGTCTCCAGGAAGAAGTCATTACCACCATCATACAAATGGGGAAACTGAGGCACAAGGGGGCAATAACTTGCCCAAGCTCACACAGCAAGGCAATAACAGCGCTGGGATGAGTCTCAAAGGGGTAGCCATGTTAGTCTGTATCTATATCAGCAAGGAGTCCTGTGGCACCTGAAACACTAACAGTTTTATTTGGGCATCAGCTTTCACAAGCAAACCCCCCGCTTTGTCAGATGCAAAAACCCACTTTGTCTGACGAAGGGGGGTTTTGCCCGTGAAAGCTGATGCCCAAATAAATCTGTTAGTCTTGAAAGTGCCCCAAGACTCCTCACTGTTAGAGTTGGGATGAGAGCTCAGGAAGTTCTGGCTCCCAGACATGCATCAGGCCACGTCATTCATCCTCTACTGCCTGTTCAGCCGGCCCAGCTGGGCTGAGAAAGCAGCGCATGTATCATAAGAACACAAGAATGGCCATACTGGGTCAGACCAAAGGTCCATCTAGACCAGTATCCTGTCTGCCGGCAGTGGTCAATGCTGCCCCAGAGGAAGGGAAGAGAAACAGGTAATCATCCAGTGATCCCTCTCCTGTCATCCATTTCCAGCCCTTGACATACACCATTCCTACCCATCCTGGCTAATAGCCATTGATGGACCTAACCTTCATGAATCTATATCTAGCTCTTTTTGAACCCTGTTAAAAGTCCTGGTCTTCACAACATCCTCTGGCAAGGAGTTCCACAGGCTAACTGTGCATTGTGTGAAGAAATACTTCCCTTTGTTTTAAACCTGCTACCTAGTAATTTCATTTGGTGACCCTTCATTCTTCTGTTATGAAACAAGTCAATAACTTTTCCTTATTCACTTTCTCCACACCAGTCATGATTCTATAGACTTCTATCATATCCCCCCCAGTCTCCTCTTTAATAAGCTGAAAAGTCCCAGTCTTTTTAATCTCTCTTCATATGGCAGCCGTTCCAAACCCCTAAACATTTTTGTTGCCCTTTTCTGAACCTTTTCCAATGCCAAGATATTTTTTGAGATGAGGCGACCACATCTGTACACAGTATTCCAGATGTGGGCGTACCATGGATGGATAGAGAGGCAATGAGATATTCTCTGTTTTATTCTCTCTCCCTTTTTTAATGAGTCCTTACATTCTGTTTGCTTGTTTGACTGTCCTTGCACACTGAGGATGTTCTCAGAGAACTCTCCACAATGACTCCAAGATCTCTCTGGTGAGTGGTTATAGCTAAATGACTCCCCATCATTTGTATGTGTAGTTGGGATCAATTTTCCAGTGTGCATTATTTGGCATTTATCAACATTAAAATTCATTTGCCATTTTGTTGCCCAATCACCTAGTTTTGTAAGATCCCTTTGAAGCTCTCTACGATCTGCTTTGTTCTTAACTATCTTGAGCAGTTATCATGATACCAGCGGTAGAACTGCCAACAAATGTGGTTCTTGCCCTTACAGTATCCCCTGTTCCTCTCACCCCAAACCCAGCTAGCTACAACCCCTCCCTCCCAGGGGTTACTGTCTTCCTTTCCTGGCAGCCCCAGCACCCACTTGGGAAGGGCCATGAGGGGGGACATCATGCTGAGAAATGTTAACATGGGGAAACTTCATGCTGCGAACTCTCTAGCCAGCTAGTGCCCAGAGCTAAGGAAAAAAGGGGCAGCCCTGTGTGTGTTTGGGGGGGGGGTTCCCAAATGACTTGAACCATAGAGACATGAAGCCGCTCACATCGCCTGCTGTCAATAGCCTCGGGCCAGATTCTGTTCTCACTTACACCAGCCTCAGCTCCGTTGCTTCCTGACCCCCGCCCCGGGAGCATCTCCCCGCTGAGCGTTCAGCGTTTGCTCCCCGCTGGCCTCTGGGCTCGCCTGTTCCCAGGGAGCGGCCACGAAAGGGAAAAGGGGAAGGGGCACAGGCTACGTTAACCCCCCTCTTTCTTGGAAATAACCTCTAATTCAGTAGGGGAAACTGAGGCACACAGCGGCGAGCCACAGAGCCCGAACAGTTGCAGGAAGATCTGAACTGAGGCGCTGGGGGCCAAGGCAGCAGCCCCCCCCCCCATACACATACAGGGCAGGCCGCCTCCTGGGTATCTCTGCTAACTGGGCACCGGGTGCCGGCCTCATTCGCCTCGCCCTGAGCAGGGCCAGCCGAAGCCCGGGCACCCTGGGAACCAGCGGAACAGAGAGGGCTGATAGCTGGGGGCCCCAGCGTGGCTCAGGGGCCGGGAGAAAGGACCTCAGAGCCGCCTTGCATCGCAAGCTAAAGACCGCGGCCGTTCCAGCCGGGTGCGCTCGACCCTTGCTCCCACCGCCGGAGAGCTCCGTCCAGCGGCTGCTGGTTTCCAAGCGCACCAGCCGGGGGCTCCTGCGCATGGGGGTGTATTTCACCGCCGCTTACGCCTCGGCGGTGCCCAGCCCCAGAAAGGTACTTCGGAAAGTTACCGGTTCTCAAGCCCCGCTCCCGCAGCGGCAGTGACCGGCCACTGAACCGCCCCTCGCGTTCATTAGCCGCGGCACCCAGCGCCCTGCCTGGGCAGGTCTGTGCGTAAAAACGCGTCGCTCACACACACGGGAGAGCCTGGGGTTGTGGCGAGAATCTGCTGGGGAAAGAGCCTGCCCCCGCCGCCCCCAAAGGTCAGACGGAGCGAAGGGCCGCTCGCTGAGGGGATGCGGTCCCCAGCATCTCAATGCGCGTGTCTGTCTCCTGCTCTGGCTTCTCCTTCGCGACTCACGGGACGCCCGGCCCTCCCCAAAGCGCCG